TCTTTATTATATTGATCATAGATAGGTCGAATTAATTTATCTAAGAAATCAGAGATAGATCTTGTTACTGATTTAATAGTATTCAAAATAGGTCGTAATGGTGTTCCTTCCTAAACAATAAAAGAAAGAAAATTACATACTTAAGACAATCATCATTGATAAATTATCAAAGAAGATTATTAACCTTGTGTGGCTTTGGATTAAAATACATGTAAGATAATTTGACTTGATCAGATTTTGGCATTAGACGATTGTATTCCTTGAGTGGTAATTGCTTATTATTCTTGAGAATATCGAGTGCATTTGTTACATTAGTGAATATTTCCTTCAAAGGATTATTCGGTAATTCTTGATAGGCTTTTGTATCTTCACGATATTTAGCTGCTTTTCTTTCATAATCACTTTTACTACCAATATGAAAACCACCACCTTTATCACAGACACGTATAATAAGTTTCGCATGTTGTGCCTTCCGTCGAATAGATTTGACTAATTTGAATTCTCGTTCAGCGCGCATGCGATCAACATAGGATAATGGAGCCATATAATGTTGTCGAAGTACATTTTCAACTAATTCAGAGTAATGTATCATTCTTGGGACTGGCGGTTCTCTCTTGCAGTAGTTCGTTAATTGATTTTTAACTTTCTCAGTGATATTCTTGACATTATTTTTTATTTGACTCTCACGATGTTTTATCGGACGAAGTGCACTTGGATTTGATCGAGCATAATTTGGACCTAAAAAATACAACAATCCATGGAACTATCAATATAGAATGGTTGTCATTGATATTGCTTCGTATACATACCTAGGGATAGATGAGATAATTCTACATATTTATAAGGACAATGAAGAACATCAATAATCACTTCAGGTGACACGCCGACCATTGTCTTGGCAGTTGATGATCGTTGATAACGTTGAGCAATGATCTGTCGAAAGTGACTAAATTTTTGAAATATATTACCAATAGCTGTTTGAGTACGATGTATCATATAAGTTTTGAAATAGTCGATTAAAGACATGCCATTGATTTGAATCATAGTAAAGAATTGTAATTCTAATTGATTTAAATTTTCTTTATATTGTACTTGATATGCATTGATTTTATATTCATAGGCAACATAAAAAAGATTTAGTAAATTACGTTTTCCTCGTTTCAAGATTGTACGACGTTTTGTTCGTATATCGACTAGTGTCTGATCAGCAATCGGTGGCCAATATATATCAGGTGCTGTAATCTTTTCAAATTGATCAAAGTTTGGTGGTAGAAATTGATACAAAATGCGTTGTTCAAGCATCATAAATTCTTCGTAAACTTGCAATTGTGTTGTTCGTACATGAATGATCTGTTCAAGCATTTGTTGTTGAATAGTAGTAAGATTGTAAGAAAACAAATCTCGATAGAGTTGTTCATCACGAAGCTCATTCTTAAATTTCATTATTTTATGTTGCATGCGTTCGACTAAATAATTTTGTTGTAAGGAAACATAATTTTTTAAACTTGTATCCATAATATCTAATGCTGGTAATAGAATTGGTATCGCTGATTGCGCTTGTTTATTCAATTCCAGATTACATTGTTCTAATTGATCATCGATCATAGCTAATTGTGTCATAATATAATTTTCACATAGATCTGCTTGATTGGTTTTGGTCATTTCATACAATGAACGCTTGACAGAAAATAAATTAATGAAAAAACTTTATTCACATTCAGAATTATTCTTAATGTCAAAACTTACAGGCCATAACGTTTCTGGTAAACCAATATTTAAGTAAGATTGCCATAAACGTTGATCAAGCTCGAGACGATATTGACGATCTAATAATTGTAGACGTATATGAAGAAATATTCGTTCATCTTTTTTATTCAATAAACGATTAAATTCTTGACGTAATACTTGAAAGATCAAATGTGGTGAATGAGTTAAGTACGCTGGTAATCTATATAGAGGTATCATAGATCGAGAGAAATAAACACCTTTGATGAGTAAACCAAGCTACTGATGACTTACGGATATTTTCTATTCATACTAATACTATCCGGTGGAATAGACTGAATTAAGCTGATTTTTTTCATTTTTTTGGCTGGTGGTGGTCGAAGATTGACATGACTCGTCGATGGAACTAAATGACGATGAAGTTCAAATGAAGAAATATCTCTTTTACGTTTGTTTGCTGATGTAATACATTTCTGTTGATTGTTGTCAATTTCTTCTTTGTTCTAGAAATACAATTGTAGGCATTCAGCAATATGCGATAGGGTCAACTGTTGACAATCATAACTTACTGGTATTGATACAGTGGTGATTCTAGATTCCGTTTGAGGAACAGTGGTTGTAGTAGTCCTGTTCTTTGATTGTTTCGACTTTTTCTTGTCTTTCGCACGTTTTCGTGCCTGAATCATTTTTGTTATAGCTTCTTCACTCATATTACGAGCACGTCGTCTCCGACGAAAACGTTGTAATTTTTTAACACCATGATATTTTTTGCGTTTTTTTTCTGGATTTGCCTGTTGTAATGGTTGGTTGATAATCGCCCGAGATTGTGACGGCGGTTGATTTGATGCATTGACAT